GTTGTATTGCGTCACAAGATCTAGAGGGAAATTTACGTAGGATTTATGATGGCAATTTCATGGATAATAGTTCATTTGAGACGAAATCTTCTGCGGAAGAAGAAAGAGCTATCGATGTGCTGGAAAAATCTCTAGAGATTAAGGAGGGACACTTGTGCATTTGTTTAACTTGAAAGGATAGTTCTTTTAAAGAGAAATGCAATCGAATCAGTGCCGTTAACCGTTTAATGGCTTTGCGGAGGCGATTTCTTCGTGACAGTAATTTCCAAGAAAGATATTCAGCCGTGATATTTTGATATATCGAGAAGGGTTTCGCAAAACCTGTGTCAGAAAGTTTGAATCCGGACAAATTATGTTGGTACCTTCCCCATCACGCGGTTTTAAATCCGAAAAAGCCGGATAAGGTTCAAGTCGTCTTCGACTGTGCGGCGAAGTTTAACGGTGAATCGTTAAACGACCATTTATTACCTGGTCCAAACATGGGGGCCCGATTGCCGGCTTTACATTGATAAAATCAGACTCAGCTCGGGGCAGAGCAGGTGATGTCATAGCTTATTTTAGTTGCGCCCTACCTCCTCCATTTCTTATTTCAGTCGACCCAATAAGCCCAATAGATACTCTATGGGTTAAACTCAAACTCTCAAGGTCTTTCTTACTCTTGGTTGGATTCGTGTACCGTCCCCCGCAGAGTTCCCCCTCGAAAGCCAACTACTCATTGACCAATTAAGGTCAATAAGTAGCACTCATCCTTTTGCCCACCTTCTAATTACTGGTGATTTTAATGCCCCGGGTCTTAACTGGCTCAGAGCATACTCTTCTGATCTTTCTTTCGGTCATCCTCTTATGGATCTAGTACTAGAAATCTCCTTGACTCAACATGTAGATCAACCTGCGAGGTTCCGCCCAGGTCAGGCTCCTTCATTGCCAGGTCTTATAATAACGAGTGATGACAATCAGATCGACGTGATAAATCACCTTCCACCTCTCGGAAAGAGTGACCACGTAGTTCCGCTGTTTGACCACATTATAGACTGGAAAAACCAAATAGAATGCCCACAAATGGTCGGATCCATCAAGCGTACCAACTTCGGCTCCTTACGAGAGTTTCTCAGGGCACAGTTTCACGGCCTTCCCATGGACCTGCCCGTAGAGAATCTTACAGAACATATCGAACAAATCGTCACTTCAGCTGACGAGTGGTTCGTCCCCCGTGTTGTCGCACGCTCTAGTTCTGAATCACCTCTCCCTCAGCCCATCCGCAGGCTTTTAGACGAGCGGTCCAGACTGTTTGTAAGATACAAGCAAACGGGACTCGAAGCTGATGGACTAGCCTATAAAAGGCTCAGGAACATCTGCCGCTCATATATTAGAGAGTACAAACTGCGTACGCAAAGAGCTGTACTTGAACGGGCTCAGAAGAACAAACCGTTCCTTTACAAGCATACCTGTCGACTGCGCGGCACAGCTAACCCCTTTCTTACCCTCAAGTTACCAGACGGGACAGAAGTAACTGCCACATCACGGATTGCGGATGAATTTAAAAAGCACCACAAGATCATCTTCAGTTCCACTCCCGTCACTACCCACCCGATACTACAACCCTTTCCACCAAACTCTACCCTTAGCCGTGTCACCTTTTTACTGTTAGACGTAGAGAAAAAAACTACGTAACCTCAACCCTTACTCTTTTATGAGGCCCGACAAAAAGCACCCTGGAATTCTTAAGGAAACGGCAGATATCTCAGCTGGCCCATACACCCAACACTTCCAACGGTGTATGGATGAGGGAATATTCCCTTCTTGCTGGAAAGCCACAGTTCTCTCCCATCTACAAAAAAGACAGTAGATTCCTTCCAATAAGCTACCGTCCTATCTCTCTGACTAGCGTCCCTTGCGAAATTCTGGAGCGCATGCTAAAAGAGGCCATCTTGAAGCAACTCTGCGCAAATAATTTCCTTTCTACCTTCCAGCATGGATTTCTGCCAGGCAGATCTTGCATCACCAATATGCTGACTATCATGGATAGTTTNAGGTGGTGTCATAGCTTACTTTAGTTGCACCCTCCCTCCTCCCTTTCTTACTTCAGTCGACCCAATAGGTCCAATAGAGACTTTATGGGTTAAACTCAAACTCTGCAGGTTAGCCACACTCCTACTTGGAGT